CAGGGGTTAGAAGTTGCTGGTGGAGAATCACGCCGCCATTGAACAAGGCTGTGTAGATTGAAGAAGCTTGAGTTGGAGATTGAAGAAGCACAATGATGGTGAGGGGCACCGGAGATGGCGATGGCGACGGTGAAGGAGTGGTCCGACTGGTTAAGGAGATTGAAGAAGCGCAACGGTGATTGGGTGTAAAGGAGGAACCAATGTTCAATATTTTACTAAAAATGATACAACCAAAAAGGAAAAAAAAAAAGGTGGATTTTAGTAGAAAATGACAATTTTTAAAATACCATACAGGATTTTGAGACTGAGGTAAAATGATCGAATTAACCCCACAAAGTAATATTCAAGTTGCTAGTTCTAGTTAAAATCCTACTTGTCTATAATCAGTAGACCTCGTCAAACATCAAAAGGAAAACGCAAATGCAAATCTTGAGATTATGTGTAAATGCACAATAGCAAGCTTGTTAGTTATGCATGTTTGTTGAAAAAACTAACATGACTCGTCAATTTCTTTAAAATCTTGGAAGTGTATATTTCATAATTCTTGAGTTGGTAAATAAGGTTCTAATGTGGTCTTTTACCGAAAATGCTTCCAAGGAAAAAATAATATTAATAATAATTTAATAAACAAAGATATGCCGTATAAGGAAAACCACAGCCTCTGCACATCATGATTGTTGATTGATAAGGCCAATGGTATAAAGATTGTCCTCAACTGATTGATAGTGATATATTCTCTAGAATATGTAAAGTTAGTATAAACCAAATGAGGACCCACCCACATGTTGAGCTCACTGGAGGAGTCAATTCAAAGAACATGCCAGGGATGATGGCTATCTAGTGCCATCCCTGCGGCAATCCAAAAATAACAACTTACCAACATCACAAAATATTCACAAACACTGCACGTACACAATATGATGATCAAACAAAGCATCTAGAAGACACACTTCAACTTAAACAAGCAACCAAGTAGAAAATAGACCCAATGCATACTCATCTGAAACGAAAAAAAATGTGGCCAAGGCACAAACAAATTTTACAAGGAAGCTATATATCTCATATCAACAGGATTTGCAGCAATGAGCTGCTTCCCCACGGCTCTTACTGCTTCAATCAGAGCACCAGCCTGATTAGTGTGGGGCACCCGTGGTTGAGAAGTCACAGATCGAAGCCGTTCTGCTGTCTGCTTTGCTGTGGCCTGGGAACCTTCAATTTTACTGCACCACATATAAAAAATACAGAAATTAGTTCTCCATCTCACAAGACGGCATCCAACACTTTACTCATCCAACTTTATAAATGATAGTGAAGAAAATTTGCCGTTTCTTAAGCTGATTCAAGAAATCATTAACGAGGGACTGAACATCAGGCATTGTGATACCTGATTTCACCTGAAACGTAAAAAATGTCAGGGCCTAAGCATGCCTAAGTAAGATCATGCCTAAGCATCACAATAGAATGATGGGTCTTCACTTCGAGGATTGTCAGCCATCTAGTTTTTTCACCAAGATTTCTCAACAACCAAACTTCAGAGGGGAAAAAAACAGATAAAACCCCTATTTCAGCCAAGTGTCAAATCATGCCTCAACTGAAATCATTGCTAGAAAATGCCAAACAAAATTCAAACTCAACCAGAAATGGGGATAATGTATTGCATGCAGCTGTATAGTTGCAAGATTGCAGCTTTAATTTGGGATTACAGAGATCCACTTCTGAACAGGAGTTGGATTAGAATTCCAAATTTCTAAAATGACAACATGTTCTTGAGATTTCAGGTGCAGAATTTTACTACAAAAACCCAGATTTAAATTCTTTGTTAATCTTGGGGTAAAATAGTAGTTTAATAATCTCTTTCAAAGAAAAAACTTGGATCAGTTTTTATTTTTATTCCTATAAATGCATGAGGATGAACACAGATGGGGTAAGGCAGGGTTGACAATCAACCCAATGCCAAGCCCCAACTGATGTCGTGTTCTGGTCATGTCCTGACAAATCCAGAACAAGACCAAATCACTCTAGACCAGTCCAGGCTGGATAGCATTTAGGAGTACCATAACTTTTCTCCCCTTAATTTTGTACATTTTTCCCCATAAGATGAACACCATTTTGACGCAAACAAAAGCGCAAAAGCCGCATCAAACCTTGGCACACAAGAAGTCCAAAAGCTGAATCATACTTTGGAACATATAAAGGCCAAAAGTTGAATCCATCACAGTTCATTAATTCACCTAACTGCGCAAACATAACCAAATATGTAATGATTCTGTGCAACACTATTACATGCAATTCTGCTACATTTGAACACACACAAAGAGGTTGGATAAGTATTGCCATGAAGGCAAAGAAACCAACCTCCGTTTTTTGATAAATCTCAAGTAGTAGTAGAATAACCAAATAATCACTATCACATTAAAAAACAATCAAGCATTAATTCTAGGAGGCTACCAACACAAATGCACAATGATAAAATGCATGGTACAACTGACGATTTACAACACAGCCAGGCTATAGCCGAATAAGCATGAACCTGTGAGTTAGGCCTCAATTATGAAGCTGACCTATATTTTTGGTCCAATTCTGAGCCCACCAAAGGGCTGGGCCATGTTAAGGCCCAGGCAACTCAGATAGTTGCCTTAAGCCCCTCAAATTGTTGCTTTATACTCCATATCTGTGTGTGGTGTTTTTCTTTAATCATGGAGAGATTTAATTGGAAATTAAATAATTAGGCGCTAAGTATTGTTCATTTGTTCTTCCGGTTGAAATCTTCTTTCAATTTCGAGATAATATCAATTGTTGGACTTAACTATTAGCTGTTTAGTAAAGAACGAAGAAATTTTAGTACTTCAGTTGAAATATTAAACTAAATAAAAAATTAGACTCCCCCCCCCCCCAGGATACATATCTTGCTTATAGAATATTATTGATCATTATACTATTTGTGGTCTTGATTTACTTTCAAAATTGGAGTTGAAATAAAGTTAACAAAAGATAAAACTAGAATTGAACAATTAAATTAAATTATATCAATTGAACTTCAATTTATTAGCCGTGTGGGAGCCGTGAGTGACACAAAGAAGAAGGTGCAGAAACTGAATATGGGAAGAGCAGAACCGAAAGGGAGGTCGGTTTTAGCAGGCTAATAGCAAAGCTTGTTCTTGTATGCGAGTGACATTCAATGTTTTGACTGACAAAGAGGGCATTCACATGTACAAACAAAAAAGAAGAAGAAGAAGAAAGAGGGCATTCACAAACTAGTAGTAGTAGGTGAGAAGAACAAACGAGGGTGAGATGAAGGTCAGAAGAGCAAATGAGAGATAGAACATTGATATGAAGAATTACCTTTCTCTACCGTGGTCCTCCTCTGTGATTCGCCGAGTCGTACTTTCACCTCCGCCAGCTCCGTTCTCTAGCGGCTGGAGCGTCTGTGATATTTGATCGAAAATGAATAGCAGTTCTGTTTTTTCTTGGGCGAGGGAGAAAAGTTGTTAAGAACTTTCATAATTTGGAGTATTATTGTCAAAAATTGTTCACTGAACTCATCTCACTTTCATGGGCCTATCCAAAAACACTCACTTCCATACCCCCGTCACGTTTGAGCGTCACTTCTCCAGAGAACCCAGTTCACAAATGCCAAACACACTTGGATCCCACCTCTTGACTCTGGCAAACTAGAGGTACAGTAAAATGGCGTCTGGTTACTTTAGGTACACTAATGGTAGTATTTGATTTACCTTATTTTAGTTGATTGTATGTTGTGCAAGATAAATATATCAGAGTAACAAATAAGTGATTCTTTAGTTAAACGGTAGGAAGCTCAAATAGAAATATTCTATTTGAGCTTATGCTAGTGATTATGAAATCTATTCACCTTGTTTGACTAAATTTCTTAAAATTTCGAAAAAAAAATTGTTAATTTACTTTCTATTGCACGTTTGAGCATACTGATAAGTCATTAACACTAGTTTTTGCGATTGAAAAATTTCAATAGAAGTTCAGCAACGAGAATTTTTCCCATATACCTTTATAATAATTATAATTAAATTAAAATTATATTTGAATAATAATTAATGCTTATAAGAATGATATTGAATTATATTTTTTCTATATACCCTTGTTACTTTTTGATAATTATACATCTATAAGTGAGTTTAATAAATGAAATTCAAACATAATCAACATTCTTAAATTCATTTATAAAAAAAGTATCTAAACAAAAATCACGAAACTTCTAATTAATATCACTAATGAAAAATGATGATAATCTAAAATTACAGTCATTTACCACTAATTCAAAGAGTCACCAAGTAATTTGGGCCCAAAATAGCCCAGGGAATGAAATAATAAGTCAGCCTAGAGCTTAGCGGCCAACTATATTAAGCAGGTAGAAGGAATTCTGATACTAAAAAAATTAGGTCTAATAGAATGGGTTAGTCCCTCACAAAGTGATGAATCAATATTTGAATTCTCACTGAAAGAAGTGCTTATATTTAGTACTCGATTATGTCTTAAATAGTATTACTTCTAATAAAAGAATACCTATGCTTTGGAGGGGAAAAAAAGGAAAAAGAAGGAGGAGGAGGAATTCTGATCATCAGCAAGCAGCGCTAGACATTTTATGCTACGATTTACTCCACAAGAGACCGTTTGACGGTGATCATGTTGTTGACGCAATGATATTGTGACATGCACTATCATGTACATCTACGAGAGTGACGGGACTTATGTGTATTAGGAATATGTATAGTCGATTTGGCAGCGTATCTATGTGTTATGTTGCGATTTTAACTTCTATGTTTATATGATTATGTGATTAGATTGGATTCGAGAATCGAGACTCCACAAGCTTACGAAAAGCACCAGATGTTACAATTGAAAGAAAGCGTAGGTCAACCTAAGTCGTAATTACATATTTAAACCGTTTTTTTCTTTTTCCAGATTCATATTTAAACATCACGTTCATTCCAAACAAGCATTTGTAAAATAAAGCAGACTTGAAATGCTCAGGTAAAAGATTTTTATTGAAAGCCAAGAAGGGAAATCCAAACTTTACACTTTACAGGCCTAACAAAATGGACAAATAAATTTAAAACAGATGAATATTTCATTTATCATCGTTCTGGTCAATATAACTCAGTAAAAAGCCGCTAACAACTCTGCGGGCTACAGGATTCGGAATACAGCGACAAAGACGTCCATCGATATAAGCCAAAATGCCTGACAATACAAACTTAGTAATTCTCCATCTCTGAATAAATCTCACCTTATGCTCTTTTTCCTTTAAGCTTGGCGAGTGGGGCGCCTGATTGTCGGACTCTGACTTCTTTGCCCACTTCAGGTTGGAAATGACCTTGTTAAACTGCCTTCTCAGCAAGCGAATTGCGAAGCTAACAAACAGATGTTCAAACAATGTCATCACTGTTGGCCCAATTTTCCATTCCTGCACGAAATATCTCTCTATGGATTAGTTCGGGTGCACCTGGAAATACAACTTGATCATGCACAGCCAAGTGATGCAGGAATGAACAAGAATTCATTAGATTGGGCGTGCTAATTAATTTTGTCACTTCAAACATTCATTCCAGTGGATTTTCGTTATTTTACATGCAATTGATATATTCATGTAGCTAAAGGTTAATCTGCAAAGCAGACTCAAAAAAAAGAAAAACGACAAAGAAAAATTGCGCAAAAAGGGGATTTTACAGATTTGACATTTGAAGCACCTCCAGACTAACAAATTCTACCCAATGTTCTGGGAAAAGAAAATATTTTGGGCGTTTCTCTAGGAAAGAGAAATATAACAAGGAATAGGAAAGACAAAATATTAATAGAAACATGCTCTCTAAAATAAAACTTACACGTTCTCCACGACGATGACGCAGGGGGCGGGAAGTCGTTGAAGCATCTCCCTTGAGCAGCGCCTTGTTAACAAGGAACTCCTTTACACGATCCATGATCTCATTAATGAGGGAATGATTTGGAGGCAGATTTTTAAGGATAACCTAGACATGTCAAATATTCCATCACAACCAGACAACACAGGGTCTTCTAATCAGTGACAGCCAATTTGTATACTACATGTTATCGCACTAATTTAAAAAATAAAAACTATTGCACAATACATATGATCATTCTATAAACAAGGATATCTTGTTGAAATTCCATTCAATGTACTCAAGCTTGCTAGATGTTTAATGCCTCCTTACCAACTAGATGCAGATTTAGCTGACGATTACCTGGTTGTCAATGACTTTGACTCTCAGGTATTCTTGTCTATAAACAGTATCCAACATGGCTTGGATATATCCTTCAATGTATAACTGCAACAGCACTCACATCTAATTAGTGCCCGATAACATCACCAATGCTTCCTCTCAAGGTCAATACAACAGGTCAACATTATTGCTATTAAAAGATGCCTCTCAAAATTTATTTGAAAGATCTAAATAGTTCTTCCCGCTTATGTTCTTTTATTTTAAATACCACCGTATTAAAACTTTGTTGTTTGCATGTATGCACGCACACATATGCATGCATGGATGACATCATCAATGCTTCCCACTCAGGTGGAATGCAAAAGGTCAATACTTTTGGTATTAACAGATGCCCCTCTGAAATCATTTGAAATTTCAAAATAGCTCTTCCAGCTTCCAGGTTTTGCTTGTCTGTTTTTGTTGCGCACGCTACAATCTTAAAAGGTTTGTCAGTCCAGCCACCCCCATTTTTGTGTCAAACAAATGGGAGTAAAGGAAAATATATATGCATACATACAAACTTAAATATGGACACGGTGTTGAAGATCTGAGGGAATGGCATATAGGGATTCGTCAGCACAATCAAATGTAATCCTCCAATACCATGGGCACAGCATGACAAAACAAATCATGTAGTACCTCATCAACTCCTGGACTTTGATCAAGGACGATCTTTCTATCTGGACCACCTTCCATTAATGCAGTTCCCAGAAATGATGGCTCCATAGCCAATTTTAGTATTCCTTGATGAAACCCGCTCACCTTTAATATATACATACATGCATATGTGTGTGTGGTTAAAATATGCCATATTGAATAGGTCCCTACTCCGACAAGATTATTAATAAACAAAACAGGGCAGCAGTTCCATACCATTCCGTTGAAACCATTTGCTTCAGCTCCTTTAAGAACAGAGTCTGATATTTCAGCTACAGCTGTAAAAGCTACATTAGAACCGGCGGACCTCAACTGCAGAACCAACATCAATTGATCATATGACAATTACACCTGTAATTGAAATTTACTTTTGTAAACAATAAAGAGCTAACACATACTGTTTTTCCAAGGTCGCCAAAGTAGCGTCTTGTCCCTGAAAAACCTTCACCTTTGATACATTTACTGATTAATTTGAAAGTACCTGGTCAACCAAAAGCAGTGTGTGCATAATTTGGAGGAGAAAGTAAGGCCTGGCTGCATAGCTGCACTGGAATGGGAATCCCATTCTAATGCACAACAATCGAGTTATTTATTATATCTCCATTATCATTATTCAACAATAGTTATTTCTTTTTATTTGTCATTTCATCCAAAAGACATTTTTACAAAATTCCTTTTTTTTTTTTTTTAATTCCATTCTGCATACCACACGGGACCACATGTAAGGACACATAATGTTTTTAGAGAACTTGCTAGAGGGTCCTTATTAACTCCAATAAATATGGAAGCACAATCTTATATTCAAGCGTATTTGAGCTTTTTTTTTTTTTTAAACACAGATGGAAGTGTTGCAGGATAAGCATCAGCTTGGACGGAAGTGTTAAAGGATGAGTGGTGTTGAAATAATTTTCCCAGATTCTTCCCCTTTAACACTCCTTTTCAAGTTGTGACAGTCATCCCATAAGACCTGGACAAGTTTTTCAATAACCTTCTCATCTGTCTTGCATAAATTTCATCTCAGTATAGGCAGTGAGTTCAAAGAAATAATTTAGAAAAGAAAAAGGTTCGCAGTTCCAAATGATATTGAATCTCCAAAAGGGGCAAGGCCAGAAGGTGGGGTATAATAGTATCATTCAGCATAACCATTACCTATTTGCAAACAATTTCAAGTATCTTTTAAAAAACCTTCTGGTTTGAGCTATTCAGTCTAAGTCCATTACTCATCAATTCTATAACTTACATTTAATATATAATGGACATTTCCCCTTTGGCTCTCTACTTCTCAGCAAAAGCGGAAGATAGTACAGATAAAATATTATTATGCCACAGTACCGCAACTGAAATCTCTCTAAACATAATTCAAGTTACCATCACTAATCACCAATTCCAGAAGATAAACTCAACGTCCCCTAGCATTGGCAAGTCTTCGAAGCTTAATAAAATTGAGACTACCAATAAAATGTAATTGCAAGGTTTTGATGTCTCAATGCCCCTAGTTAGGAAACGAACTTCTATGGCAAAAGAAACAGTGCAGCAAAAAGGCATGAAAACTTGAGCTATTCGTGATCATGATGATAATTACAGTTTTCAACTTAGTCATAAATCCTTGTAGCACTCAGCATCCACATTCCTGAGTTTAAGTAGGAAGATCACAGAAAAAAGCACAAAGCGGAATTCGAAACCTATAAGGATAACTTAAAGAGAAGCAGGAGCAGAATAGAGACTTTGTAAGAGATATACCTAACGTCAATCCTGGAAGATTCATCAACCCACGAGATGGGTCAAAGAAGACATCAAGAGAGGATGAAGCCAAATCATCAAAAATAGAAACAAAATCGGGTGGAAGCAAAGGGCTTCCTTTAGCAATATATATGGCCCTCATAGCATACCTGAATAAAATAGTCAATTGTAAGCTATGACTTGGTGCATTTCTTCAATTCAAAAGGAAGCATCTAGTATAGGCTTACCAAGAATAATGCTGTGCACATTTGATGATTAGCTCACGCAGTGTTATCAAAGCATGGCTAATCAGGATGCCATTCAGTTCTACAACCATACCTTTCATGGGAGGCACCTGGATAGAGAGAGAGATTAAGGTCAAGGTGCAACACGACTAATTACATTATTATATAGGATTACTTTAAAAAATTGATAACGTATGCCAATCGAACCTTAATTACACTATGAATTAAAGACCTGAGAGTTTCCTGTGCTGAACTATAACTTGCAAGTGAATCCCCAGGAATAAAGCTTGCAGTGATCTACAAAGCCCATTCATTACACAACAGTTACAGAAAATATTCATGGTAACGGGGAAAAAAAATGAAAATATGAAACGAGTGGAACCTTTATTGGATGGATTTCAAAATGATCAAAGTAAAATCGCTGACTCTCTGAGTCACTGAGAGATCTTCTCCAAAATGAAGCAAGTTTCATTAATGTCTCCTCATCAAGGTTCAAATCAATTGGCTGCATGAACCAAGGTGTTCATTCATATATGACTCCTACAAATTCTAATATGCATCTTTAGCAGTTAACAGGCTTATCATTTTTAATGGCTTTTTACAAGCTAACGTAGTTTGGTAGAAGAAAGAAAGCAGAAAAAAGAACCAAAAAATTCAAAAGAGAATTAAAAAAATGCCCTCTTCGACTTTACCTGAAGAAAAATAGATGAATATCTAAATTGCTTAATCTTCGAACTGGAGGTAAGTTGGACAAAAACAACCTTCAGTACACTATCATTTGAATCATTGTAATCAGATTGATGCCTGCGAAGCATTGATGCAAAAGGAGCCCCATTCCACTTAAGTTCCAAATTCAAGTACTGGATCAATAACAAAGGATAAAAATCAAGAATCACTCAACTGGAACAAATAATTGAGAATCTAGAAGATTTATTCTTAAACATAAAAGAATAATGACCTGTAGAAGTCAGACATGCAACAGAATTAAGCATACTTAATTGAAGTACCTGCATACTGAACAGATTATATTTCTGATGATTATTAGAAACAGTACTCAAGTTGAGATTCCCAAACTTTGCCACCGCAATTGGTGAAAAATCTGTGGGATCATTGTCATCCACCTCCTTGACAAAATAGTAACATCAAAGAATATTAGTAGCAAGTATGCAAATCCCCCGCCCCCCCCCCCCCCCCAAAAAAAAAAAAAAAACAAGAAGAAGGAGAAGAACAACAATCACACATAAGTATAAAACTAAAAAATGTCATTACCACACCTGCTATGCTTTCAATGTGATGTATTGAGTAATCTAACATGATCAAGTGGACTGGAAGAAGTCCTCTCGCTTTCTAATGGGTCATAAATTTCATAACTATAAATGCATAAATTTCATAACAGCAGCATTTGGAATTCAATCAGTGACGTTTTAACCCATGTGAGATCCTGAATTAGAAATTTATATGAAATGTTTTTCTCAAGTTCTACATTGCATTTTTAGGACAGACACATAAGAACCAGGTACACACTGATACACACTGAGCGATACAAACTATATTCCAAAGACGTAGAAGGAATACACATTTATGTCCCAAGTCCAATTATTTTAAGTAAAATTAACATATGCACATATCTGGAAGCCTCAACCACAATCATAGAAAAGGCTAGAAGAGGCAAGCTCAAAGAAAACTTAGTATCAACTGATGGACTCAAGCACTCAACAAAAATGTAAATACCTGTTTTGCAGGTTCAAGTAGATGGATAGCAAACAGAGAAATTCTCAATTGCATTTTTGCGCACAAATCAAGAACTCTATCTCCCTTGAAACAATCAGAGATCTCGCAAATCCGCAGAACACGGGTGGGTCCCTCTGCATATATTTCATACCCCACTTTTTCTATCTCTATGCCATTAAGCCCATTGAAAGTTGCTCTCTGATCCCTTGATCTTTTGTCTAAAAGCAAATGTGGAGCCAATACTCTTTGTTGCCCAACTTTGTAAAATGGTTTCCATGGCCGCACCTTATCCAACTTAATTTCTCGTAACTGCAGGCGATCTGCAAGAGAAATCATTACCATTATTAGATGTAAGACTAAAAATTTCTTTAGTTCCACCAACGCAGCAAAATACAACGAAAGGGATTTACAAAAACATCAGAATAATGACTAAGTTATGTATCAAAAGGTCAAGCCTGTATCCCAAATCATATGACCACAAGGAAAGCACATGTAATGGAGTAGGGTAATTAAAGGGCTTTAAATTCAACTGTATCATATCCAGTTTATATATTAGTGAATTTGAAAAAGAGATATTGGCTTTTTAACTTAAAAAAAGAAGTAGATATTGGCTTTAAGTAGCATCTCTACTACACTGAGTATGGAAAATAAATAATACCACTCAAGCATTTCTGAGAATAAACTAAAGGAAAAAAGATGAATTGTTCTGAGCAAGTACCATTAATACGGACAACTAGTTTATGAGGAAGAGTTAAATCATCCCACACATAATCAGCACTGGTAGTAGATCCAAGAACCTCGGGCTCTGACGAAGCCTGCAAAGTTCTCAATTGATATAAGGGGAAGAAAAATTCAAAGTTAAAAAAATAAGAAAATATCAGAAAATATGAAACAAATATAAAAATGGTACAACCTTTTGATAGTAAGTTATGGATAAATCGTGCAAACAATTCTCAATTCGATATGGAAGACTCAGATTTGGGGGTTTGTAGAAATGTAAGACAAGAGTAGAGCCTTCTTCCACCACATGAATAGCAGCAAACTGTGTCATGTTACTGTCTGGTACTGTGAAATTGTTAGTTATCTTTCTAAATTTCAGGAAAAAACGTCCTAGGGAAGCTATGCATACAGGCCCCGACCATCCAAATCCTGGATCATTTGTTTTAATCTGAACATACAGCAAAGATTTGTCACTGGAGCTTCTGTGCTTCCTAATAAAATGATCAAATAAACTGAACTCTCTCTCCCTGCCAAATCCTTCCTTTAGCCGCAGTGTTGTTCGCTGTTTACTGTCAATGGAGGTAATGCCTGCCAAGTCATCCTTCACAAAGAGAAAAATTAATCACATGTATCTTAAAGAAAAAATAAACATTCTGTTAGAAGCTAGGTAGAAAAAGATAGAGTAAGTAGAGGAAAGAATAGGATTGTAGGAGGGACGTGAGGGTCCTCAAGAATTAGAATCTAATCCTAGAAGTAGGAAAATCTGGAAAATAGAAGTAGAAATAGGGGAAAGGGGAAGAAAGAGAAGAGAAAGGGGTAAAGAAGGAGAGAAAATCTAGAAACAGAATCTGTAATCCTAGAGAAAAGGAAATGATTCACTTAATAATACTTATTCTTCCTTTTGGCTGAATATATGTATGACATTTATAGCCTGGTAAATAAACTGAAAATAACATCTTATCCATATAAAACTGACAATAATGTAACCAACACTGACACTTGTAGCAGCTAACGCAAGAAATATGTTAAAACATAAAACATATAAAACATAATAATTCACTGAACAATAAACTAGTAAAGGCCACCAGTTCCTATCGCATTCAAATTATTATTTATAAAATCAAACCTGCAAGTAACATTGACGGACACTGATCTGTTCTTCTGATTCATTACAAATGACATATCGCGGTACCAAAGTCACCATTTGAAATGGCACAACAATTTCCCCTGAAGAAGGGCCAGTAGACACCCCAAGCTTTATTATAGATCTCATCTCAGATCCTTCCTCTTTATAGAAGCTTATTTCTGTGAGGCCTGATATAGCATCCAAGTCTAACAATGCCTCAGATTGATAGTCCTCCAGCAATCTAAGTTGCAGTTTTTTGGATCTGGAAGCAGAGTAGGATAAGTTACCATAAAAACCATGCAGGTTTAGATAATCTTACAGGAAAGCATTAATCAGGCACATTAAATCCATCGGTGATGGAAGATAAACATCTTACTTCAAGAACCATGATCTGGTAGACTTAGGAGGCAAGCACAAACCATACTCCAAAAGACTGCCGGAATTTAAATTGTCCAATTCAATCCTGCACATAGGTTTACATTCAATGGATCAAGAATGATAAAAAAGGGTTTAATTTTACTATTAACTCAATGAAAGAAAAGGAGTCACCTGGGCACATGCCTCTTTTTAGTTGCAAGAACGTAGATTGGAAAGTCTGTCTCATTCTTCATTGCATATGACGTAAAAACAACAGCCTGCAATGAGCACAACAAATTGACATTATTGTAAACTTATTGAGTCCTCAATAAAGCAATATAAGATATGCTCTCTCCAAAACCGGAAATAAGATTTTGGTCAATTTTAATGTAAACAACTGCTAGCTCAACAACCTCTAGCATGCCCCTGCTTCCACGGTACAATCTTAATGTTGCAAAAAAATTTCCACTTTCAAAGTCCAAGATTATATCCAGATATCGCGCATCACCATTTTGCTTTAGTAACCTCTTCACACAATCGCCACTGTTCACTGGCTTGGAACTCAAATTATAAGCACTTAAAGCAACAGTGAAATATATAACTGCAGGATTGGCATAAAAGTCAACTGAGGACCCGCATGATATCTTTGCCTGCTTTCCAATATTGTCATTCCCATAAAGTTTGGGCTGATCTACATCACAGGAAAAAAAAAAAAAAAAAGAACACGTTAAATCTGCTAATAGAAAGTTAATCTGCAAAAAAAATCATTATCTCACCTGTTTCACTTAGAAGGACTTCTATCTCGCACTGCAATAAATTGGTCATCCGTACAGTGGGAAGGATATGTATTTCTTTCTGCTCTTGCAGTGAAACTGGTGAATTTTTATTTTTAAACTCAACTGAGGACTTTTCAGGTGGTGCAACAGGGACATCTCTGGCAATTGTCTGAATAAGAAAGTGCATATTGCCAACATTTCCTCCCTCTGAGTTGAGGGCACATTGTGCTGTGCTAAAGGAACATTTAACTGGTTTTACTGATAACACCTTACGGACCCTGTAGTTTAATTTATCAAATATGCCAGAGAGATGGACTGCTTTTCCACCCTTAATACAATCAGACCATCCCACAGAAAGAGAAGTTTCAGAATTTGTCATGTCCTTTGTCATTTCAGGTCTTAATGAAAATAAGAAGTTACCTGACATTTAATCATTAGGCCAAATCAGTCACAAGAATCAAGACACAAGATCATGATAAGACTTAATTGATGCCTCAGAAAAGAAGATAATAAAGATATATGACCAAAACATTTTTATGTGAGAAAAGAAAAGTAACTAAAGAAGAAAATATTAAACATTCATCTTCATCACTTCTTTTTCACTTGTTACCTGATAGAATAGTGTGGGTGTGACAGGTGGGTTAACTTAGCATTTGATTATTAAAGAGCTGGGTTATACTAGTTGAATCATTGCTGTGATGAGGCCTATGGAATCCCTACTTCCATCACTGTTGTGATTCAAGGTCTCAACCCCACTAGCACACTAAGCTTTACTCAGACTGTCACCACCTATGCCATCGACTGATGAGGAAGAGAGTGACGAGGCCTAATGCAAAGCCTTATTCCTGTACTTTTTTTAAATTTCTTATAATGGGTATCAGCATAACCTGAATCATTCTTTTCTTTTCCTTGCATTTTATCTTCAAACATTTTAATTCTCTTATCCACACCAATCATACAAATTGATTCCATGGAAGGCCAACTTTCTTATTCCCATTCCTGTTGCCGTTGCCATTCCCATTCCATTATTCAAGGGAAATGCTACCAAATCGGACAACAATTTTGAAAAATAGTAAATTGAAGACATTAGCACTAGGGTTTTGTTTTGTTGGATTCCCACGTGTGCAACCCAAGCATTAAAGACTTGTTGGGAGAAGTTTGAAAAGTAGATCAAAGACTTTCAGGAAATGTGTCAACATACCTGGAAAGAGTGCCTCGAACAATGTTGAAAGAGCCACTCATGGGAAGCAGGTCAAAGAATATTAGAGTTTCTTGTCTACCTAGGACATCATTAGAGGAAGGGTTGGTTGTTGAAGTTCTTCAATTGCAGTTGGGTGACCATAAGAGTCATTGTACCTTATCTAGGGTTTTAATCTGTGTGTGTATATATATATTCCAATTTTGATTGGCTCTTGTTTATAACAACTTGAAGCTTGACTAATTTTCACTTTGAGGGACAATGATAAAATAACAAGTGTGTGACAAAGCTAAAATATGAGTGCTAATTACTAGCGGACTGGACTTGCACTAGTTGTACTGCCCTTGTACTTGATCAAATCAATGATTATAAATACAAATAGAAAAATGGCTAAGTTAAGGAAGTATTCTCATTCAAATTCCTCCATCTTTCTTATTCTTTGTGAAAATTATCATTTTTCCCCTAGTGAAGCTCCTGATGTGATTCCAATGTTCTGAACTTGTCTTTTCCCAACCTTTACACCCAACTTTTCTTTTCTTTCTTGCTTTATGACAGATGTTTCCTTGCATACCGCAGCCAACCCCTTATATCGTTTCTAATGAAGGGCTAGAAGCAGGAAGTTAATGCTAGACCTTATCCTGGATTCTTGAAATTGTATCCCAAAACCAAAACATAAATGAAAAATGTCTTAAAATCAGGCCCCTGATAAAAGGCTAGAAACTTTGATGGGGTAAAAAAATATATAAAGGGAATTCATGTGTCTTCATCTTTCAGGTAGTAAAACAATGTATTATGGTACTGAAAAAATGATAGTATTTCAGAAGAATGTCAGGATTTCTAGTGTCTGTATGCACATTTTGTGCTACATGCATGAATAGAAGAGAAATATTAGCAAGGATAGAAGCTGTGAGAAAAGCAATCTTAGTTGATAAAAGCAAAAGTTGACAATGCATACCAACAGTTAAAGACATCAAAGCCCTCTTTACTCCTCCAGAAAACTTCATAGCATCAAAAGTTGCCATGGAATCATCAATAGAATCCCCTGGTTTTAACGACACAGATGCAAATTCATCTTCCTTTGGTTGGGGCCGCTGGAATCGTAGTTCCATCGGAAGTCCAGTTTCATTACGTATGGTAACCAATGGAGAAACCGCAACCAACAAACCATCCTTAAAAGATAAGCATAAAATCATTGGCCTTAACAGATAATCTATAGTCTCCATGAATAGTCAAAAAAATGGAATGAAAGTTACAGTATAAAAGGACATGTGAAGATACCTCTAATTTTCTTGAAATGTTAACCACAAGAAATGGCCCAGGATATGTTCTTGAACCTATGGCAAAAAGGATAAGTTTTCCCTTGTCAGAAGTTACAAGATCTTAAAAGTGTAAAGAGTTTAAAATGATGAATGAAAATGAAGACTGAAAGTTTTGAGGTTGTGGTACTTTAAGACCATACAACTCTGTTTATATTGCATGTAAATAATTACACCAAAATAAGATGTCACTTTTATCCCTTTTTCCTTTTTTTCTAAATCAAAAGTGTCGCATGTGAGAAATATTTTACAAATACTAGACGGGCTAGAACACAGAGAGGAGGAAAAAGAAAGCACGATTGTAACTTTATTGACAAGAAGCCTTCATAACAGGACAATGTCTAATCAGTACCATTAGCGTGCAAGTTTGGCAGGCCCAATTCCACAGTTCAGCTGATAGAGAATTATTTAATGATGTTTCATTTAAATGTACAAGAAAGTGGTTGAATGAGACCTTCCATTGACATGATACGTGTTCTCCAAGCAAGGGATGATTGTGAAAGTGAAAGATGAATGGAAGTCGTCGCCAAGGATCCAAAATCAGCAAGTTGGATTGAAACAGAGGCTGCACTATCTAAATCTTGAGCCGTGAAATCAGAGAGCCGCCTGTCACATGAAAGTCATGATTTATCAATCAACTAATCAAATTAGAATGCAACTCTAATCATTAAAATTCGAAGATGTCCCATTGATACACAGTGGTTCAAGAAGAATCTGATAACTCTTGTGTAGACAATCAATCTTTCATCATTCAAAACTTCTTTCTAACATTTTTTTTCAATTTTATACAATAAGAGAAAATTGACATTTATTACAATAGGTGACAGATATTAGCTACCTTCCCTAACAAACTCAACTGGCATTAAAAATTCTCTCCAGTCCCAGCCACCAAATACAATCCTATTTATAGTTTAACTGTTACTAACCAATCTTTAACATTCATAACATAAATATGAGTAAGAATTAAGTTACACGGCCTGAATGAATGACCAGCGGGGAAAAAAAGAGACACAGAATAAGGAAAGGTGACAATGGTCCTTGGAAAACCTTTTCATATCATTAGATAACCATAAACCTACACTCCAGTGTTTATCAAGACCTATCACTCAAACAATATCAGCCATGAAATAAAATAAAAGGCTACGATCAAATAACGAGATCCCAAACCACAGTAGCTGTGAAATATTCACTGAAAAATAATTAATCAGAAGCAACATGTGCGGGAAAATGACAATCAAATTAATGTCAAAACAGAAATTCTCTTTCAGTAACCTACACTCTCCAATATAAAACAGCAAATAAACAGTTTTATGTATCATTGTGTCATACATGAAAACATCAAGGGCAGTTTTCCATGTAGCTACCTTAGTAGAATGGAAGTAGACTGTTTTCTGGCTACAGTAACCCTTTGCTGATTGAAATGCAATAGAAGATTTAAGCCTGACTGATTCTCCACCTGCCAAGGCAGATAAGAGAAAAGCACAGTTACAAAAATTATGAGATTAAGTAGGGACACAGAATTACTGGGAAAAAAAAAATCAGTTGAATCCTTTGGACATGCTGTTAAGAACCATAAATATGCACTGGATGTAAAACCTTGCAGTAGTTAGCCAGAATCATGGAGCTTCGCAGTGAATAAGGACCAGACAGATTTAGTTTTCCAATCATGAAGAGAAGTACGTCCAATGATAGCTCACAAAGGCATATGTTAAGCTGTAAATATGATGAGAAATGTTAGAAGATGGTAAAATGATGCCCAAATGAAAGTAAAGAAACAAGAAATCAGAGATAGCTTTAACAACCTCTTTAGTTCTGCAATAAAAATTAACGGGAACTGCATGAGATGCATATTCTGATTGCTGGCTTTGAAATTTAGCTCGGTAAAAAAGACATATTTCAACAGGACGGAGAAGTTCTCCCCTGGAATATAAAAAAGTCAAGGAAATATTGTTCATGAAAAGTATTACAATTAAAAGTATTGCACATAAAACAAAAGCTTTACAGTTAGAAAGGACATGTAACTAACCATATATCTCTTTGAGCATCAAAATAATGTGCCACAACACTTGATGTGCTTATAATCCGGGATTTTGTCGCAAACCTCTGTATTATAAGTTGGGCATTGTTGATGCACGCGCGGAGAAGAGGGAAGAAATCTTCTGTGCCTGGAAGTTCATGAACAAAATTCACTGAAATTTTGCCCATTTTAATATCAATTTGAGAAAGTTTCCCATACAGGCATGCTAAACTTTCTTCATTTATGTGCGGACTGCTCAGAGAGGCCATTCTTGGGTAGTTATCTGCTCCTATGCCATGAAGAGCAAGAGAAAGATCATGAAAAACTTTGAACTTGATTGGGTTCCCAGGTTTCTGCACATACTCTGGAACACCATCAAGAAAAGCCACACCAGAATCATTTTTTTTGTTGACAAGGTAAAAGGTTCTGTTCACCAGTTGATTACAACCCTCCCAGTCATTAACTCCTTCAGAACCATCATCCTGAAAAGGATGAGCTTGCCAAAGCGCACATCCTCCATCATTAGTACAGCAGATGTCAACAAAGCATGATCCTGGATTATAATTCAATCTCAGTGGCACACCCATGTCGTTCTTAGCGTACAATGATATCAAGGAAAACCACAAAACTGTAGACTTCCATCTCCTTTCAATGCAATATTTGACCTGCAGAAAATTTAGCCAACAGATATGATCCATAAGAATGATGACATTCCAACTAAGAGCACCGCCGATATGTCCAGCCAGAGAAGAAATGAGGTAATGTGAAACTTTATCTCAGAACCAGGCTCAGAAAGACAAAGGACAATTATATTGTAATCCTCAAGCAAATTTGGTCATTTGCAGACAAAATTCCAACCAAGCCCAAGAAGAATTGTGATTCCTGGTTCTAAATCATTACCATGACATGTCGCTAATGAAAACATTCTAACAACAGTCTGACAGACTTACAAACCCCAACGCAATGTTATAAACCACAAGTTACCTCATGTTTATCCTTTCCAATTCAGGAATTCTCAGCAAATGCATTTATGGTTTAGGGACAAGAAACAAGACCAGGAGTGAAACAAAAGCATAGAGTGGTTAATGAGTTATTAATGGGCCTGGTGTGCTGGTTAAGCATGTATATAAAAGGTCCAAACCCAAAATGCCTCTTGCCAAGAAAAGAAGAATACCCCAGTGAAGCTACTCAGGTCACACCCAATAGGTGAAGTGACTGTTTCCTAGAGTTGCATGCAGCCTGAGAGAGGGCAAGAAATAGACTGGCTTCTTGGAAGGAAAGCCCCTGACCTCTCAAAAGTCAGAGAACCCATTTCCTTTTTCGGTTTCTTTTCCATTTGTCTATGTTCAGATTTTGTCTTATCTTTTCCTATACCATTCATTAAAAGAGAAAAGCTATAACTAATCTTTGCTAGAAATAACAACTAGGAGTACCAAGTTATATCAGTTTAGGATATATTAATTTAATTAACCACCGGTCTAACTAATTTTTCCCAGTCTAGAAATATAGATACTTAGAGTTCCTAAACCAAAGGTATTCCTTTCATTTATAAAAAAGATAATAAAAAAATTGAAAATCCTCAAAAATTGTCTAACAAAGGGGAAAAGAGTAGCGAAATTTGCACTAGTCCTCAGATAGAACCATTAATGAATGAAAATTTTGCAGTAATATAAACGTATAGAGCTCACAAGCCAGTTACCTAAGGTATGTAAATTCAACATAAATTTCATACCCTGAAAAGAGCCCTTTCCCCTTCGAGAGAATAATGGATTGCACCACCAATACTCAAATTCCTTTCTTCACCTTTAACCGTAAAATACATATGTTGGGCAACATCTTGAATTGCAACAATTGCTCCTACACAAGCTCACAACTAATTACTACTGTAATTTTCCAATAAATAATAAACAAAACTATAAAATTTAATTCTGAATACCATCAGGAACTATTGCTTCCAAATTATTGTTAAATTCCTGCCTAGCAGTGCCATTATTTCTGTTAAATTCCCTGGATGTCTTCTGACTAGAGGCACCATAAAACGAAGATGTCATTGACAAAATTGTCTGGCGTAATGAAAACAGAGTTAGACAAAGGGCACTGTATTTTGAAGGGGGAAAACACTTGGACAACTTCCAACAAACTTTAAATAGCAGAAGAAATTATCACCTGTACTTCAGATAAAGAAAGTGTAACATCAAAGCCTGGAAGAGAACAACTGCCAAACCAACTGTGAGACAAGTGTAAAGAACCACTCTCTGGACTCTCTAGTTCCATAAATGCTCTCAAATCTTTCAAAATAGGCTTCTGATGAATAGAATGAAGGAACTCAGATTTCAAGGGAACAGAGTCTCTTGAGCTGCTTGCAACACTAACAGAGTTAAGTTCATCTAAATTCTGAGATCCTGCAAGAAAATCTCCAGATGCATGGTGAGATGACAATACTTTTGGTGTCACTGAAGCAAAATGAGGGATTTCTATTTCATCATCCTCACTTGTATGAAGAACTTGAGAGAGTATTGACAAATGAGAAAGGTCAAATTTCAATTTCCTCCTAGTAGTTGCTGATTCGAGTTTGAGATGGATGTCAGCCTCAACTAAAATCTCTCGGATTTCACCTGTGTTAACAGATTAAACATTTAATTAAGTTTTCCTACACTATGATGCAGTGTCACATCTAAAGACGAAATTAATTTACCAGATTCATTTTCATGCACAAAGACAAGAGCAAAGTGAGACAAAGATAAAGCAAATGTATTTGGTAATCCACTTTCAGCTTGATAAGACGGGCAAGGAGTCCCTTGAGCATCCTCCGCAGGAAGATTATAGCGTGCTTCACTATGCTCTGTCATTGTGCATCTATTATGTTGTCGAGAAGCAGAGGCAAGACTTAAAATACTATGAAGATATGAAGAATAGCAACCATTGACCACTGCTAAAGATGCCGTTTCAAGAATCATTCCACCCTGCCCCATAAAATTTATAGCTCAGCTGAATGAAATGAAATATTGTAAATATTGAGATGACAGCATTTATAGATAATAGCTTGAAAGTGAAACAAACCAGAAAGCTGCATAGTCATCTTTTTATGAACTTCAATTTGTTAAAAATAAAAAAATAAAAAAAAATTCAGAGTATGATGTTCTCGCTCATTCTCCTCAAGATGGAACAAGTGCAAATACATATATGTAACTGTAGCCAACAGACCCGCCTATCAGATCCCAAAAGAGAAATTAACAATAAAACATAACCAAATATCCTATCCTGGGAAACACGAGTGGAGAAAGGAATAGAACATTAACCAAAGAGACATAAATGAAGACAATGATCACATGAAATTTCAAAACTTCGTCTCAGTAAAAGGCTTCAAGCAAAGATGCAGTTAAAAGCGCGAGAGAGAGAGAGAGAGCATTTCTTCCCTCTAAATCACACACATTACCTGAATTTTCATGGATATCAACTCAAATTCTCCACCAATAGAAACCAAAGACAGAAACTTATTCATTTGATGTGCTGGAACAAGATCATTCTTCATTTGACACCTTCCTATGAAAACATTACCTACTGCAACACTTATAAGTAACCAGCAACTTCCTGAAGCTGGAGTTCGAATATTTGTAGCAGACCCCCTTTCCTTGACAAAGTGGAGAGATTGATTATTGGATCTCTCAGAGCAGATTGCTTGATCAATATCCCGTCCCAAAGATATATTACCACCAGGTTTTTTGCTCTCGTTGTCTAAAGAAGCATTCTGAGGGGCACTCAAGTATAAAGTAACTTTGCAGTCAGAAAGAGATATTTCATGTAAGCAATTAACAGATTGCAAAACCAACTTTTCAAGGAGAACGTGATCATCATTGTTTCCAATAGAGTTCCCGTATTCAAAGACAAGAAGCATAATTCCTGATGAATCAGAGAGAATATCTGCCTTTCCTTCTTCACAAGATATTGTAACAGAGGTATTCTGAATAGAAACCAAAATTCCATAATCAGCCAACTTTTTCTCAGCTAAAATGTTGCCAGTTACCAAGCTAAAAGTTCTCATCCAACTATCCACATTGTCTTTTGTCCTGGAATTATGAAGAATTACATCCACTGACTTAAATCTGCAGTTCCCGTTAATTAAAAACAGGCAACTATAATTTGTGAACAGGGTTCCTCCAATAGGTCCCTCTTGCCTCTCAGGTTCTGCAAATAATGCTTCTTCTTTGATGATTTTGGTATGTACAGTATCAACTGCTTCAAGACTGCTAAAAAGACAGGACACCACAACATACAAACTGGAAACTGCCTGTAAAAGAGAAAAGAGATCCTTTATCAACAATAATAAAAATTATGAAGTCAGGTCCTTACAATCTAGCAACAGTATATCAGGTCCCCATAATTTCATTCCACCTTAAGCTCATTCCCTATAATTTTTCTTTGAAATCAGGTCCTTACAATTTAAAATCCTTTGAACTAACTTTCCCCCATCAACCAGTATTATTGACCCCACTAAATTTTGGTCCTTGTAATTTGTAATTAGACCATGCCACCAATATGGGAAAAAAAATGTAAAAAATACTGAAGCCATCAAATGCAGAAATCATTTAGGGAAATAGCCAAGCGCACAAGGATCTCTATCTAGCTAAAGCACAATGGAATTAATGATATTTCATGAAATCATAAGGAAACCATGCATCCTAGTAACCATCTGAAGACCTAAAGACTTGAAACATGTGATTGATATAGGGATGGTAACTGTATTTTTATTAATTAGAAACTCTATTAGAAAAATATAAGCACCTCACCCAGAAGTTCCAGTAGTTTTAGGAGAATCTCCCAAATACAAGAAACAAAGTGATTATTCTAGCCACCCAACAATGTACAGCTATTTATAGCACTAGTAATTAACAATTAAATAAATTACAACAAGAAGCCATATACTAATGTCCTAATAAGTGACGTCAGCGATATGGATGGCATGACATCTTTGAGCTCTATCAACTACCAACTCTTTAGACATATCATTTACCAGAATATCCCATTCAATGTATTCCTTGAGGGTCCTTCTAGGCCTCTCTCTACACCACTTATAGGGATGAAGATCATCTAATTGACCCTTCTCACTAGTGCACCTAATGGCCTTTGTTGCACATGTTCAAACCACTTTGAAGGATTTTCTACCATTTTTTCTCAATTATTGCCACACCAACTTCATGTGCAATCACATATGCAAAGCGGCACATGGTGGTGCATTATGGGTGCCTAAAGTGCTATCATCATTGTCTGTTCTCCAAGTGAAATGGTAATCACCGCATCCCCACTATCCCCACTACTTCTCCCATATCCAGCAACTGCGCAACTCCCCTAATTCACACCCTTATGACTCTCACCTGCCCATCTTCTTGCCTACATATGTTTCTTTAAGTGTAAGTGAGAATGGGTCAGCATCCTTAAAAGAAAGCACTTGAATACTTGATTTGCAACAAAATAAGCTTTATATCACTTGAATACTTGATTTGCAACAAAAAGCTAAGCTTTATATCCTAGAATGCATGCTAACTCAAGGGGCCAATGAAAGAAGGTAAAAGCTAACAACAGATCTATAAGGAAGGCACCTTGTTGCTACGTGACATGCAATAATTTAAATATCTTCAATGGCCAAAATCACAGAATTTTACCCCAACAAATGCACTAACCAATACCTCCAATGATGATTATGATGTAAGTGATCTTCGCCAAGTTCAACTTGATTGGTTGGGCTGAATTTAAGAGTTCAAAAGGTATAACAAGGCTGAAGAGAAAAGAAAACTCTGATGCCAACTCTAACCTCCTAACATTCTGAATTGTGATTAGGTTGAGTGAGGAAAAAGTTGAGTGAATCTTATGATGGTATTAAGCTGCCATTTCTGAGTTTCCAACTTCAGGACAAGGTGAATCTTCTGGGGGGAGTGTTAGGAGGACCCAACGTACTGCTGCCACCAAAACATACAGAAGGAGACATGAGGGAGTAGGAACGAGGGCAGAAAAGGGGAGCCACTGGTTCAGAAGACAGCACCAAGGTAAAGAAGAAAAAAGACACAAAAAGCAGAGGAGCAAATGGTAGAGATAAGAGGGACCAGTTAAAGAGTAGCTGGTAAGATATAAAAAGTGAAAAGCTGAAAAAAAGGGGAACAAGAACTTTGGGTCAGAATTTAGCAGCCATCCTCTCGAAAGTTGGCACCTGTATTCTCATCTTGAAGGGTTTTGTGTTGTATTAGTTGTGTTTCTAGTGGGCATCTGTGTATTAGCTATGTTTCCGAGGGGTGTCAGGTGGGTGTCCATTGAATAAGTTGTGTTTCTAGGTGGCCGTGTGGTATGGTGCATGGAGTTCCTCTTTCTTCATTTTCTGTGCTAGTGTTCTGCATTGCTCCATATATGTACCCTCAACTTCATTTACACATTATATGTTGGTTTAGATTAGCGTCATGTAGCAACTTTGCATCATTCTGTGTTTTGTTTCCGTTCACTTGTATTTTGGGTGCAACAGAGATGTCGGGTTGGATCTTGTCAGATGATTTGGGCCAGAATAGCAAGACCCAAGTTCCCCATTTCGTTTGATCTTCCGTTTATATTATACTAAGTTTTAGTTAGAAAACTTCACTGGTTCCTAACAGGTTCACTAAATGATCGACTTAAAACCTTGACATGATATACTTACAGCATATTTTACAATAGGTCCTAACAGCATTACTTGGTCTTCTTTCATGTTCTCAGTCACTAGAAAGTGGTTCAAAATGCATAAAGGTGCCTAGTACTTAAGGGGCAATAAATTTAATCAGGCATACAATGTAAAACTTATCATTTGACTTAAACAGGATGGGAAAAAAACTACCTGATAGATCATATACAACTCATCCAAAAATGACAGAACAGTTAATCCTCCAGCCATCATGGTGAAAGCAGCTGAAAAAGCAACTGTTGTTGTGCTTAAAGAGTGCATGTACTCCCTGAAATATCAATTTAACACTCATAAATCACAATCACAAGGAGAAATATGCATATGACAACATATTTTTAAATTATGTAATGGAAGGGCTAGTAATCATAAATCTATCACAAATACAAGGGCCTTAAAAAAAAAAAAAGTAACTTATCATCAAATTTCAACATGAGGTCATGGCCATATCACCTGCGGAAACTTCTCTCTCCAGAAAACACTTCAGATAAGCAGCAAAATGATATAATCATAACTTAAGAGCCCAGTAAGAGAGAAGGAGTGTCTGCAAGTTTCGGTGTTTTCCTTTTGCTTTTTTTTTTTTAAAAAAAAAAAAAATTTGTTGGGTGGGGAAGTCGAAGGTCTTAAAACGAATAACAATTTCTGTTAGAAGTTGGCAATTTTTTTTCCGATTCAAGGGTGATTCCAAACTTCATATTCAGAATTATTTGAATATTCTTTGTATCGTCTTGAATCATACTTGTTTGCTTTATCGTGATCTAGTTTTATTGTGATCTAATTCGGAGAACATACTTTCCATCCAATCATACAATTATTTGCATTCTACTTAGTAAAATTTGTGCATCAAAGTTCAATTATTATTTTCGCCTCAATCAACATCAAATCAATCAGAGATTAAATTCACCAAACTTTTTTCATGACTTTGTTCCTATATTCAACATATATCAACCCCAGTACTGACAAAGCAATACATAATAAGCCTACTCAAAATTATCCAAAAAGGAAAGCTGAGCATAGAGAACACCAAGTCTGCACAGGTGCTGAAACTTCATTTTTTTCCCCTCATTGAACTGAAGAATGGGACTAAGATTCCTAGGCACACAGTGTAAAAGCAACATATTAATGCATTCCCAAGTCAACACCAACTGGCACAATCATGCATTTACATAATATTTTTTTATCCATAAAAGAACACGTGGAGAAAAAAATGAAGTCAATGCTTGAATATCATGGGAAAAAAGAAAGAAAACAGCAAGGAAAGAGAAACAAAGGAAAAAAGAATATCAGCTCAAAGAGACGAGAACAATCTCAAATAAGGTCTTGAGATATTTGCATATACCGGTAACTTATTAAGAAAAAACATTGAAGAACCATGAATCATCAAGTCCCAGTGGAGATTTCACTATAAAGGACATAAATTAAAAATTAAAAATATATTTGAGAAAAAAATTCAAGTATATATGATTGGCTCATAGAAACATCAACTGCTTTTCAGACATTGATTAGAATAATAACCAGTCTGAGAAACAATAAACAAAAGAAAAATAATGTCAAGATACAAGACCCATTGAGGACCATCAAGGAACCAACAATGAAATCAAAGTATCATCCTATAAACATATCACCCCCAAACCAAAAAAATAAAAAAATAAAAAACATCATCCTATAAACAACATCCTACCTAATGGATGAAATCTGTAATGTAATTGGCTTCATTGCAAAAAGTTGAAATTGATGGCTCTCAGCTGGTTTCCTCAAACAAGCATTTAAACCATTTAGACGAAGATAACAACCAAATGAAATCTTTTCCCACGATGCATATTTATCATAATTTGGTTTAGGGATATCGATTGCCTGAGGTTCCAACCTAAGACACTCTTCTTTCACATCATCAAATCCCAGCAAATCTACCAATGGCGCCACCCCACACAGGGAAGGTGAACCAATAGCCACTTCTATCTCATGGAAATCAAAAATCAAGTCAAAAGAATTATGACTAACATCAGCCTTCTTGTGTAAAAATCTCACAGAAGGACCATCAACAAATACTCCAAGCTGAATGTTTTTCTCCGGAAGCACTTCAAACAGGGCCATAACCCATGCTTTGGCATAATACTCAAATTTGTTAACCCAACAAACTTCTGGTTTAGCCATAGAATTCGAAACAAGTGATGTTTTCCCCTTGTCCTCCTTCCAAATAAAATGCTGCATCTGACCAAGAAGTAGAGACACTGACGATACTGAATAATGAGTCAAAACTAGATTTAACTTTCCTAGAATCAAACCACATTCAGGGAAACCAAAATCCGAATTCTTAAGGCCCGGGTATGTGAATGATCTTTCAAACTTACAGAGAAGAGATGGATTTTCAGAATACTCCATTCTGTTTTCAATAAAACTATCACAAATTCCTTTCCAGCTCAAGCAAATTTTCCCCAAAAGGCTTTCCACACGAAGAGCACATGAACCTTCATCCTGGACCTCATCAGCATCTGAAAGAAAAAATAACTTTGCTGGCTCAACCCATAAAATTGATTCCATATCATCGATTCCTTCCTTCCTATTCTCTTTCTCTGAATCAATAAGAATATTCATTTTACTTGACTTTGATGATGCTCTAAGAGATGCAGGCATAACCCTCATTAGCCCACATGATAAATAAACTCTCTGCTCAAAAATGTCTTCAACAGATACAAATAACAAAGCATCAATACAAAAGCTTATTGAATGGAAATCTGTGTATTCAAACCCATAATGTGACTTTAGCTCAGCATATATAGATGGTTGAATTCTACTGGCTGGGGAAACCGTTATAATCACTTTCCCAATGTCCAGAATGAAACAACGCTTTTGACAAGGAGATTTGTTGGTGCAATCCAAAGTGCCATCAGCATATCGATCTTTCACAACTTCTTCTCTCAAAAATAAGAGATTTACTAAAGATTTGATTATTTTTGAGGTCAATTTCCATATAAACATCAATATCGGGAAAAGAGGGCGAAAGAAATTGAAAGGACTTGTGATAAAATGTTTCTCGCCATCAGATTGAACTTTCAATGTGGCTCTATGACGAGCTACTCGCCTTGCCAAGGCTATGCCTGCAATGGGCAACCTTTCCTCAGTGTCAGATATTACCTTCCAGTGGTGTCTAGCAGAACTCAACTTGGAGTTGTTCCAAGAAATCTTAGAAATGGATCTATTCAACAAGAGGCCAGAAGAATATCCAATCAACAACAAGAGATTCTCATAAGCGTTGACATAATGTATCCATTGACTAACAGTACAAACTAATCTATGCAAGGACAATCTGGGAGCATAGCCCATTCTGCTGGCAGCTAATCTCCATAATTCTCTAGCACTTCTAGCATGATTGTGCTTATAAGATAGCACTTTATCAAGAGCTAGATATATAAAAATGTCATCTGGAGAGAATGAAAAAGTCAGTTCTGGAAAATAGATAGTGCAATCGGCCAGCTGAAGATCATGCAATTTGATGTGTGTACACAGATCACATGAAAATACAAGACGGTCTATGCAATCTTTCTCATTAAATCCAATCTTCAACCCCATGCCATTTAATATGTAAGAGCTCTCGTTCACTGGAAGAAAAATTGCACCAAGAAGACCTCTGGTAAGACATTTACCATCCAGAAACTTAGACCTTGCATTAAACTCCTCTAATTCCGCAAAACACATCAACACATTGTTTAAGATAGGGAATTGAACCTCCACACGGATGTGATGTGCCTCTAGATGACAGTGTTTGAGAATAAGATTCACAAGTGATGCTGAAAAATCCTTTCTTGAAGGTGCAGTAAACAAGATTCTCTCCAAGAGGTGATGCAAAGCACAACCCTGAAATCCATACAAAATGTCACTGTGATGGCCACAATGATACTCCCTCTGTCCCTTTTTATAAGCAACATTGGAACTCATCACGTAGATCAAAATATTAGTTAAAATAAGTTAAAGATAATAAATGTGTAGAAATTAGAAGTTCTTTTTCTAAAATGCCCTTATTTATGGGGGAGAGAGAGTATAAGAGAAAGAATAAGAAAATTATTATAATAAAGAGAATTATGGAAGAGAGAGAATGTGTGATGGAAAGATGATAGTTTGGAAAATGAAATAATAAATATATTAAATATTAAAATAAGTAATTAATAATGGCAAAATAGGAATTTTGCTACAAAAATTTAAGACAACTTGCAAATGTTGCTTATATTTAGGGACAAGAGGAAGATGGTAGTTGTTGCTTATAAAATGGGACAGAGAGAGTATCATCTTAATAAAAAATTTTCCTTGGAGATGCTTGATATAAAAAATTATAAGCCCAATTGTATCAAACTCTTTGGATCAATAGACTAGATAACAATGCATAGAGTTCATCCCAAATGATCTTTCGCCATTTTTAGTGCATCTACAACATAGACAGCCAATGGACGTTCATTTTCAAGTTGAATTCCCATCCTTTAACGATTTTGCAAGAAATTAGAAAGTGAAAAGAAGCAGCCAACCAAATCAGTATTTCCATTTGTTTTCAAGTACCTCGTTCAGTGACAGTTCAAGGCAGAGAATCTTTTAACAGAACAAAATGATGAAATGAACACGATTTGAAGCATAGCAATCGAACAAACATGGACAGCAACATAAGAACGAAGAAAATTTTATGCGATGAATTCGATTTTTGCTACGCATTTTACATTGGGAAAATCTGTCAAGAGAATCATAATGTAGACGACGGTTCAGTGTTGGCTGAAAGCAGCTTTGATAGAGAACTTCGCCGGGTAGCAAAAGTTAAGTAATAGGAAAAGAAACAGCAGTTGCAACAAATAGGACGGCGACTTATATAAAATTTCTCAGAGCATTACCTCTGGATCAAGTGCCGAAAGCTTCTTCCTCACATTTTCCAAGTCATTATGCTTTGATGTCCGCAAGCGCCCCAAGCATCCCTCCTGCTCTGGCTTCCTTATATATCATATACAAAATGACAGCTTTAGGAGATATTGACTAAGGTACAAATTACAAAGGCAGCGAGAACAGGACATAGAAGGACACACAAAACAACACAAAAGCCCATAAGTAGGGACTTACTCAAATGATAGTACAACGTGGACTCCATGAACTTCGATTGAGAAGGCTGGTGCGGACCAGTTCGATAATCGAACGCTTAGATGTTCAACTGTGATGTCCTTGAAAAACAACAGAGCAGGCGCGTCCAAGAGCTCGTTAAGAACGGAAACATCAATGCGAAGATTATCCGCAACCGCAAAAGACTGGATGAACCCTAATTTAAGATGGAACTCAGGTTCCCCCAGCAGCCATGGCTGAAGCAGAGACAGTAGTCTCCGCCGGATGATGCGTTTAAAGGGCATGGTGGCATTAATTAGGATTTGGATTGGATAACACTGAATTTTTATCGAAGTTCTACTGGTAAAGCTGAATTCGAAGTGGCTCCGAAAGCAAAAGTAGCTTCAGCATGAAATCGATGTGCATCCGCCTCTGCCAGTGAATCGGCGGGAACTTAACGAACCATACCAGTATCCGATTGAAGTCCTTTTGTCACGTCAGCCGAAAAAAGAAGTGCTTTTGTCCTGCCAAACAACATTTTTTTTTACCAAAAAAAAAACGTCGTTCTGTCACAGTAAAGTGTAAAAACCATGTGACAAAAAATCATGAAGCCCAGTTTACTAGTTCTCTTTTTGGGTCAGGAAGCCCAGTTTACTAGTTCAGAAACAATAAAAGTATGAATTTTTTATATTTCTATAAAAATGATTTTATTTTTTAATGTGTATAGAATTTTCAATTTTGATTTTAATACTAAAAAATAAATATTTTTATGTCATTTTTTCATGTGATATCCTATAGCCATTAATTTTCTTAAATAAATACTAACTTCAATTCTTAATATAAGAACTAGATAACTAATTTGTAAATATTAAAAAAATTAATTAAATTAGTTATTTGTAATAAATAAATATTTTCTTCTCTGAAATATTCTCATAAATCATGTGCATTAAAATAAAAATCCTTTAACATGTATAATCATCATAGAAACTATTTTGAAAAGACAAATTAATAAATATAGGAAACAAAGCAAAGTGAATTGAGTATTATATTTAGGACCAAATAGAATCCCTAGTTAGTTTTTATACTCTTCTAATCCTAAATATAAAATATATTTTATCAAAGGTATTGTACTACCTCCGGTCCTTATTATAAGACCCCATTTGACTTTTTGTTTGGTCCTAATTATAAGACCCCAATCCATTTTCTCTCTCATATTTATGCATTTTTTTCCAAGATAATCCTTCTAATAATGATAGTTCTAGCCAATATACTTAATTAGTAAGGATATTTTAGGAATGACAACACTTATTTATTACAAATAACTAACTTAACTTACTTCCTTAATCTCTTCAAATAAGTCAACTGGGTCTTATAATTAGGACCAAAGGTAGTATCAAATATATGAAACGATTTGGAAGGCTGAAGGTTTGAAGCAGCAAGCTGACATCTTCATAGGACATATATAAGAATACATGGAGAATACCGTTTACTCTTAATTTTAGTCAATTGACCAAATCAAACCTCATTACGAAGAATGCCGTTTGTTTGATTAAAAAAAAAAATAAAGTCGGATTTGTCTGTTTCTAAGGAAAAAGGACATCTCTTTTTTTTTTTTTAACCATGATATGATATGACTAAGCTAGACATCTAATCAATTAATTAAAATATGCCAAACGAATCCATGGCATGCTATTTGTAGGCTAAAAATGGACGCCCTTCAATACAATCACACCAACAGTTTTTGCGGTTTTCTAACGGATTATTATCGTATCGTCCTTTCCTCTAAAACAGTGATTCACCTTCCTCTCTGTTGAATGAACAAAACAAAAAGAAAAGGCCTTTTCCCTGCCTTTGCCCGTGAATTCATTGTCAGTTTTGTTTCTGTTTAATCTAATCATATTCATTCTACGAAAAATTTTCTGTCGCTTTTTGTTCATGCATGCAAAGGAGGGATATAATGATGACAGGCTCAACAAGAAAAGGTCGTGTGCTCTCCGAAGAGAGTAATACATATGGCCGCCAAAAGTTCGACAACTTAGGAAGAAGCGATAATAATAAGGACGAGTATAACAATGATCATAACTGCAATCATTGTCCAAGAGAAAGCAATGTTGTAGATCTTCTTGGTCCATATCATGCAATGGCGGCTGATCTATACGAGCAATCTTCGTCTCCTCTCTCCAAATCTCCATGGTCATCTCACGTAGACGCCCCTCCTTCTTCTGCACCTGCCATGGAAGATAGCTCATCGTCCAGTATTTTGTTGGGGTCGTTAATCCGTCAAGAAGGCCATATATACTCGCTTGCGGCATGCAAAGATTTGTTGTATACAGGATCCGACAGCAAGAACATTCGAGTATGGAAGGACCACAAGGAATTTTCCGGGTTCAAATCGAATAGTGGTCTGGTTAAAGCAATTGTGATTGCAGGAGAAAGAATCCTGACGGGTCATCAAGATGGAAAGATCCGGGTCTGGAAAGTCTCCGGCAAGGATGAAACTCTGTACAAGCGAATGACCACCATGCCAACTCTAAGAAACTACATCAAATGCGCAACGAAACCCAGCAATTACGTGGAAAGTCAAGACAAACGACATCGCAGCAAGCTCTGGATCAAGCACTACGACGCCATCTCCTGCCTCTGCCTTACAGAAGATTGCTCCCTCATTTACTCTGCCTCTTGGGATAAAACGTTCAAAGTGTGGCGAGCAGCAAACTACAAATGCCTAGAATCCGTAACCGCTCACGACGACGCCGTCAACGCTTTGGTTCTGGGATTCGACGGATTGGTGTTCACCGGTTCCGCCGACGGCACCGTGAAGGTATGGCGGAGGGAGGTACAGGGAAAAGGAACAAAGCATTCTTTTTCAAGTGTATTGATGAAGCAAGAGTGTGCGATAACAGCATTGGCAATAAACCCAGAAGGGACCGTTCTGTATTGTGGTTCGTCCGATGGGTTGGTGAATTTCTGGGAGTGGGACAGGAGTCTATCTCACGGCGGAGTTTTGAGGGGCCATAAATTGGCGGTTCTGTGCTTGGCGACGGCACAGAATCTCTTGTTCAGTGGGTCTGCTGATATGTCGGTTTGTGTGTGGAAAAGGTCGTTGAACGGAGAGCATCACTGTATGTCGATTCTGAATAGCCACACCGGTCCGGTGAAGTGTCTGGCGGTGGAGAAAGATCACGAGGCTATGTGCAACGAGCGAAGGTGGATTCTGTACAGTGGGAGTTTGGACAAGTCAGTGAAGATGTGGCGAGTTTCGGAGCAACCACATGTTCAACAGCATCAATCGCATCGTAATAGTACTGAAGTTTTCCCCAGATCTTCGTCTCTGCGAAAATTGGGATCAAGAAGATATTGACAGCATAATTGGGCGTACGTGGCATTGTGCAAATGTAAATATTTATGTGGTTTTGCATCTTTTGAATTGCCATTTGGTAATTTCATTCACTTTTTTGTCAGCGGAAGGTGAAATCAGAATGGACCGTTAAGACTTCATCCAAGTGTGAAATTGATGGGAAAAGAAGAGTTGTGGTCAAAACGAGAGGATGACAAAAAAAGGATATTAGGTCCGGGCCACGCTAAGATATGACCTTGTATATATATAGAATGAATGATAATTTTTAAAAACTATCAGCTCATTATTCTACCCTGTTCTTAACTTTTAATCCTCGAATTGCCTATATTCTACATATTAGCAAGTGATTTAGTGGATTAAAATCATGTTTGGTACCAAGTATTGAGAACGAGAAATAAAGATTAGAATAGGATTTGAGAAAAACTATTAAAAAGTGTTTAGTATGAGTAATTTCTTATTACATGAAATTAGGCAGTCTCATGTAAATATAATCAAGGAATACCACCTCCCCCATAGTATTCTCCAATCCACATAATATACACTTGTCCAGTCACAAATAACAAGTAATTACTCATACTAAATTTTTTTTAATATTTATTCCTTATTTTCAATGTGTAGTATTAAACGGGACCTAAATGTTCTTTTTTTTTTTTGGTGGAAGAGGGGTGAATATATACAATTAGTATTTTATATTTGCAAAAGCAGTACGATCGATTGATAAGAATATCCATTTCTCTTCGCGTGATAAAATTTAGTTTTGCCCTGATGTTCACCGGGAAAGAAGAAAATTAGCGTGGCCCTCACTTGAAGTCTGGCATGGATTTGGGCAGGTTGATGTCAAAACTAGGTTGTCCTGTTTCCAAATGGCAGTGGCAAGCAAATGTGCACATTTGTTTCAATTTTTTTTTTCGGTTAAAGTATTTAAGAAAAATATCCCAATTCAAGACTTGATTAAAAAATTAATGTTAAATGAAAAAGAAGTTAAAAAAATATATAATTCGGGTGGTAAAACTTGAAAGGTTAAATAGTAATCAGGTTATTGTTTGATATTAATCATCTACTCAAGTCTTGATTTGTTATTCTCCCTTCACTAGTTGGAAAAGTTTACATAACTCGCATCAATAAACGTCGGAAAATGATAGTACAAAATCAAACATCTCTGAGCCACTAGTCACATATTTATTATACAGATATTGATACATGCACAACAGTCCAACAAGAACAATCATGCCTAAAACGGTACAAACAAAGGGGAAAAAAAAAAGCTAGGCTTCACGTAGCTCCCCTCACTTAAAAAGAGTTACAGTAGCGAAATGCATCCATGGAGTTAAAATTTAAGGCGAGGAAGAAGAAGAACCTCAAGTGGGGTTGCCTTTACATTTGTCAAACCAGTGCTCATAGTCATGTCCACGGGTTCCTTAGAGGGAGTACACATTTCAAAACTCTGCAAAAGTGTAGCCAATGTAAGATGCATCATCTGTAGTGCTAATGACATGCCAGGGCATGATCTCCTTCCTGAGCCAAATGGAAGAATCTCATAGTTTTGGCCCCTCACATCAATATCCTTATGACTAGATAAGAATCTTTCGGGTTTGAAGGAAGCTATGAGGATCTGGCCAAACATGCTCGTCACGATGTATTTTCCATATGTTCACCATCAACTGTGTGCCTGCAGGAACGTGATGACCAGAGGACAGCGTGCAATCCTCTATTGCCTCAAGAAAATTAATGAGTGTACTGGCAGGATAGAGACGTAAGCATTCTTTTACAGTGGCTTGTAGATAGGGTAAATTCTTAATGTCAGATTCTTTCACTAGGATTTCTCTCCCTATTTGGATGTCTAGTTCATCTTGAGCCTTCTTCATCACTCTTGGATTGTTAAGTATCAGACATAAAGCCCATGTTATTGCCACCATTATGGAGTCAGCTCCTGCTATCATATTCTGCAGCAGAAGAACTAGTCATAAATTAACTCGTTTTTATAACATGAAAGAGAAACAACTCTCTTCTTTTTCTCTCCGGCAATAGGCATTGTTCACACAAGAACTTATAGGCCCTCCAAGAACA